CTCACTCTAGCAGCAGTGGCAAAATTTAACAGGACAGCAAATAGTAAAGGTTGGCGAGGACTTGGAAAGATTGGAATTATCATACAATGTAAAATGTGTGTAAAAGTCCAAAAGGGGAAGGGGAGGAAGGCAAAGAGTGGGAAGGGAGAGAAAACACCAAGATGACAGTTTGGTGAGTAGAGGAAGGATGTGGAGAAATTAAGATCCAATGCGGATCTGAAAGGATGGGGTAATAAATCAGTGGTGACCAACTATAGAAAACACAGTGTATATGAATGATTGTATAAAACATAGTGAGTGAATGAATGAATGAATGTGTGAAACACTATGTGCATAATTGAAACACAATGTTTATGTATTTTATATACAAACCAATAAAAAAAACCAAAGGATGATAGATTGATACAGTTAGTATAGCAATGGGCCTGAATATATTAGGGGTGATGATGACACAGGATAGAACAAAGTTCAGATCCATTATTCACAGAGTTGCTGTGAGTCACAGTTGATTTAATGGTACTCAACAACAACAAAAGTCTGTCAAGTAAAAAAATAATCTGTTGTAAAAGAAGTTGGTTCAACATGAAGTGAATTCTGAGATTAGTGTAATTTAAGTAGAATAAATAATTCTCTATTAGGATGAGTATTTACATTGAATGTGCAGAACTCTATCATTCTATCTCCAGCCTCATTTCTCTCACCTCCAGCCTCATTTCTCTCACCAAGCCTGTGTTTTCCAGCTACTGATCCTTCTTCCCTGTTCCCAACTTGTGCGTTCCAGTTGCCCATTATCATCAATGCATCTTGATGGCATGTTTGATCAATTTCTGACTACAAAAGTTGGTAGAAATCTTCTATTTCCTCCTCTTTGGCTCTAGTTGTTGGTACATATAATTGAATTATAGTGGTATTCACTGGATTTCCTTGTATGCATATGGATATTATCCTGTCGCTCACCACACTGTATTTCAGGATGGATCTAGAAATGACTTTTTTAAATTATGAAACCAATCCCATTTTTCCTCACCTTTTCATCCCTGGCATAGTAAATCATATAATCACCTGGTTCAAAATGCCCCATGCCAAGCCATCTCATTTCACCAATACCTAGTATGTCAATATTTATGCGTTCCATTTCTTTCTTAACAATGTCCAATTTTCCTACATTCATGCTTCTCATGTTCCACGTTCCAATCACTAGTGTCTGCTTACAGCTGTTCCTTCTTCTCTGTATTTCTGTTTCTAAGATCTCAGTCTCAATTGCCATGTCTGCTAGTCCAAGAGATAATCTAAGTGTGCTCTATTGTACATAGGGTTTTCGAAGGCCTGTCATTTTGGAAGTGGATGGCCAATCCTTCCCAGTCTGTCTCAATCTTTAAATATATATAATAGTATCTGACAGACAAGCATTCCACAGAAAAAAGCAGATGAAAGACATCTGCCCAGTTATAGCAATGACCAATAGATTCAATGTTGCTGCCCACCTACGCTTCCTTACTCCACCACCATCCCTTCCTACTTCCTTTTGCCTACAGCAAACCACTGGGCCAATTGGCAGCATCAGTATGGATGGTGAAGAGATTGAGACAGTTAACAGTTTTAGTTTACCTGGCTCCACAATCAACACTCTTGGTAACAGCAGCCAGGAAATCAAGAGACGAATTGCATTAGGAAAGTCAGCTGTCAGGGACCTCTCAAGAGTACTGAAGAGCAACGACATCAGGCTGGAGACTAAGGTGCACAAGATCCGGGCTATAGTCTTCGCAATTACGTGCTATGCATCAGAGAGTTGGACAGTGAATAGGGATGATAGAAAAAGAATTGATGCCTTTGAGCTGTGGTGCTGGAGAAGAGTATTGAATATACCATGGACTGCTAGGAGAACAAACAGGTTTGTCCTGGGATAGGTGAAGCTGGAATGCTTCTTGGAGTTCAGGATTCTGAAGCTTCGTCTGACATACTTTGGGCATGTTGTAAGGAGGGACTGGTCCTTGGAGAGGGACATCATGTTTGGCAGAGTGGGGGTGCGGTGAAGGAGAGGAAGGCCTTCGATGAGATTGATCGATTCTGTGACTAGAGTGGTGGGAATAAGTGCGTTTGAGATGGCTAGGTTGGCACAGGACAGAACGGTGTTTAGAGCTCTTGTACACAGGGTCGCTATGAGTTGCAAGCGACTCGATGGCACATAACAACAACAACAATTAGGATGAGACATACTCTGATCTAACATGAAGGGCTCTGAGAGCTAAGTGAGAACAAAAGAGGCAGGTTAGGGCCAGAGTTTCATTGCTATCAAGTCAGAACTGACTCACAACTGACCCTCTAGCCAGGTTTCTGAGGCTGTAAACTGCACAGGAGTACAATGTCCAGCTTTCTCCTGCAGAGCAGCTGGTGGATTTCAACTGCCAAAGGGCCACTTTTGCGTTGGCAACACAACTACCTGCAGACTATGTCACCAGGGTGTCTTTAGGGCCAGATAAGTTGTTGTTGTTGTGTACCACTAAGTTGGAACTGACCCACAGCTGACCCTCCAATGGGTTTTCAGAGGCAGTAAACTAGACAGGAGCTTGCCCATCTTTATCCAGAGTAGCTGCAGGATTCAAACTGCATACCTTTTTGTGCTGGCAGTATAATTCTTACAACCAGAATTCCTTTGGAATTCAGTAGCCCAATTTGTCTCTTCTCTTTCATTCAAGTATCCTCCATTGAAATGTTAGCTTGCTCCAAAGAGTTCCTGAAAACCTCTGTCATTTTTTCTATTTCATTTCCTGCTGCCCTTCACACCTGAAAAAGCTCTTGACCCTCAAGATCTATTCTCTGTTCATTTTCCCTCTTTGCATTCTCAACTGCCTTCACTTGTTCCAGAGACATGAAAGGCTATCTGGGAGAGAAAACTTAACCTTCTTTGTGTTTCTGGAATGATGAGGAAGAATACTGTTGCTTACTCAAGGTAGTGCAGAGACTTCTAACAACTGAATATGACATGCTATCTTTAAGGAAACATGGACCCATGTTATGTGCTGTCAAGTTGCCTACAACTCATAATAACCCTATGTACAGCAGCTCTGAACCCTGACCTGAGCCAGTCTCACTGATTCTGACACACCAACCCCATTGCCCGTTACTGTATCAATCCATCTCATCTGGGGTCTTCCTCTTCTGTGCTGTCCCTCCACCCTTTCGAGCATGATGTCCTCCTTCTCCAAGGACTGGTCTCTCCCGGCCATGTGCCCAAAGTATATGAGATGGAACTTCAATATCCTAGTCTCCGAGGAGAAATTTGGTTTCACCCTTTCCAAGAGAGACCTATTTGTTTTCTTGGCATTCCATGTTATGTTCAAGATTCTTCTCCAGCACCACAACTCAAAGGCATCAAGAATCCATATACCCTATTTATTTCCTCATTTGAACTCTTGTAATAACCTCCTAATGACAGGAGCTCTGGTGATATAGTCACAATGTTAACCAAAACTAGTCTCGATGTTTCTAGTCTAGTCCCACTGATGATCCATGTCACACACTAAATTGTGTCCCTCCCAAGATAGGTATATATGACACAACCAGGCATTTTTGTAATGACTCCCCATAATCTAACAAGCCAAGCAGTTATAAAAGGATTAAGGGTGAGATGTAATACCCTTAATCCCATCACAGCCCTGATCAGATAGAAGAGTTTCTTGGGGTGTGGCCTGCATCACCTTTTAGAGAAAAGTAAGCAAAGGAAAAACTGTAGTACCACCAAGAAAGAAGTGCAGAGATGAGTACATAGTTTGGACCCAGGTTCCCACAATGAGAAACTCCTAGAATCAGAAGACACTATGAATTTGGTATCCTAACCTCCAAAAGAGTAAAGAAAAACTTGTTTGTTAAAGCCACTTATGGTTACTATTATAGCATCAGTTGATAACTAAGACATATACATATGTCTTCCCCAATGAATATTCTCAAATGAATCTCTTCTTGCTTCTTATTAATCTCAAACCCTTCATTTGCTCCTCAAAGCCTTTAGAAAAGTTTCAAACTGGGAATCTTTAGGTTAAAATTGGACCACAGGTATTTGTACAAAATATTTAAAACTAAATTTTAGTCTAACAATAAACCTGGAAATTTTTTACTGAACAATCTTGACTTCAAGCTTCCCTTTAAGAAAACCTGAAGATCAGGTAAAAGTCAGCAGACGCTGTAGCTAATGATGAGTCTGAATATATTATAAACTCTCTAGTATTAGAAACTGGCATCTAGTTCAACATAGTCCTAGTGACTCCCGTTTTTTTAGGCACATGAGTTTTGCATTCTGGCCCATAAGGTTCCCTAACATAGCATATATGGCCTTTGCTGACCTTCTTACCTCTTTCTTCCCTTTTACGTATGAACTTTACATCATAGCAGTACCTGAATACTAAATTGCTTATACTCCCCAAACAGACTGTTACTGTTCTTATGTATATCTTTTTGCATAAATTCTTCCCTTGGCCTATAATGTTAATTTCCTCCTAAATCCTAGGTTAAATTCTATTAAATCTTTAAAACCCTATTCCAATCTGACTTTGTATATATCCCAAAAAGCTGTAGCCATTTTGGCCTTGAGAGTAACTGTGCTGCTTGTAGTCCTCTACTCTCACATTTTTTTCTCATTCTGCTTTATTCCCTTTGCAATGTGCCAACAAAACCCCAACTTTTCTTGACTTTTACAGCAGCAAAGAACCACGAACAAACCCCTACTACCAAAAAACCACCCTAGATATCATCTAAAAGGAACATTCTAAGGTTTCCTTCCTCCTACACTTCTCATAGTGCAATTTTTAAATTGTTGCACATACACTTTGTAGTACAATTTATTTGTTTACATGTTAGGCTTCTTCCTACTAGAATGAAAAAGTATCATTTACAATGCTAGCCAATCAAGCATTGTTTTTTAATAATTGAGAAATTAAGCTAATATATGGCACTTGGGAAAACAGTGATGAGGTTAGGTAGACAAGGAGCTCACAGTAACTTACATAGATTTCCATCTTTCGGTAGAGACCATAGTTAAGCAGCAAATTGTGAGTCATGCGGATCCGGTGGGGCTTCATTGGATGACCTTGTCCATAATAGTAATTTCCAACATCCCCTAAAGAAAATAATGACAGCTTCAGTGCTATAGTTAGATATATACGCCCAGTAAAACCCAAATATTCTTTTTTTAAAAAATTTATTACTCATTTCAATGAAAATTTACAGACTTTGGATTTCCATTCATTCATTGTTGCACTTTTCTCCCCTCCCAACCCTCCCTCTTGGAAAAGTAAGATTCTTTCATTGTTTTACAATCCCTTCCCCCAGGTCCACTCCACTACGCAGCCTTTTATCTGGACTCCTGTCATGACAAAATACCTAATCACATATCCCTTTTAAACAGTTTTCTCCCTCATCTGTTTCAATGCAATATACATTACTGGACCCATCTTTCTTTCTCAGTCTCCCCCCATCCCCAATGTCAGTCCTGTTTTACAACAGTGGCATTTTGTGACTGAGATACTTCACTCAGCATAATGTCCTCCAGGGTCACCCATTTTGAATAAACTGCATGAGTTTCTTGTTTTTCAATACAGCGTAGTATTCCATTGTGTGAATATACCACAGCTTCTCTATCCATGCGTTTGTTGATGGGTACTTAGGTTGTTTCCAACTCCTTGCTATTGTGAACAAAGCCGCGATAAACATGGATGTGCATAAAACCCAAATATTATTATGGCAAGCTCTTTTTCTACTTCACTTTTAGTTTTCAAAATTCTCCAAAGATGAAACTACTAGTTTGTTTCTGCCTTGAACAAAAGAAGATAAGGAAACCAAACACTCAAAGAAAGTAGCCCACAGGACTAACACCCCACACAAACAATGGCCTCTCCTAACCTGACCAGCTACCACTACAGACCATTGGGGCCAAAGGCACAACAGAAGGTCCAAGAAATAATTGAAGAAAAATACATAACAAAACTCAAGTTCCTACAGAAAGTTCAGACTTCCTGGACTGATAAAATCCAGAGGATGAGGAAACCTAGAGACCATCATCCTGAAAAACTTTTCAGTTGGAAATGAAGCCACTCTCAGGTGTCTCCTTGAAACCAAATAGCAGACTGGCTTATAAAATAAAAACACTCAGGATGAATGTTTCCTTAAACAATTAACTATATAAGAACAAATGATCAACATTTAGCCAAAAACAAAGATGAGAACACAAAGGAGAGGCAAAGAAACTAGATAAAGGAACAAAGAACAAACAATATAGAAATAATAAGAATGCTGACAGATTGCAAAAAAAATCTAACCTATGTCACAAAACAATGTGTACCAAAAAAAGTGGAGAGAAGATTCTCTCTTACCTTGAGAATAACTTAAAAAATTCACCAGGGGGCCCTGATAAGATCAGCCCTTATAGGATGCCAAAGCCTAACCTAGTTTCTTAGCCTGGAACCTACAAAGTATTAGAATAGTATGAAGGGTTCACTTCAAAGATAGTGGATAACGGTATTCAATGAGGAGACTGGCTTACTGTATCTACTGTACCTTCAAGGCAATTCTCTGCCTTGGCTAAAAAATATCCATCATACTCAGATTTATTACAAGCATAGTTCACCTCTTACCCACTGTGACACTTTATGATCTCAAAATACATTCACATCCATTTCCTTACTGAATCCTCACAATAACCTTGTAAAATAAAGCTGTATTGCTAATGTGTAATCAGCACTGGAATCAACCCCTATCTGACCCTCCACCAAGTTTTCAAAGGCAGTAAACTGTACAGGAGACTGTCCAATCTTTCTCCTACAGAGAATCTAACTGTAAAGTAAATAGAAAGTATTATTCCCTTCACAGATGAGAAAATTTAGCTCTTCTCATTTCATTTATAGCAAAAGCTTTCAAACTGGTCTCTCCAACTATCAGCCACACTGGTGGCCAGAGCATGCAGTTCAAATCCACCAGATGCTTTGCTGGAGGAGGAAGGGTAATTTCCTCTGTGCCAGTTGGATCTGATTCAACAGTGTTGTTGTTGTTATGTGCCGTCGAGTAGTTTGCGACTCATAGCGACCCTATGTACAACAGCCCTAAACCCTGCTCTATCCTGTGCCAATCGCA